ATATTTGACAAAGTGGTAAATCCCAAGTAATAATTTTAATGTGTCACTTATACTCCGAAATCAATAGTTTGTATATTATAACTATATTATAAAAAGTATCAACTTTATCAACTTTATCAAATATATAACAATAATAAAAAAAATAGGATATTTTTTTATATAAAATTATATATATATATATATATATATATATATATATATATATATATATATATATATATATATATATATATATATATATATATATATATATATATATATATATATATATATATATATATATATATATATATTTAATTCACCAAGGCTAAGAAGACCACTACTGACGAGGAGGCTACTTAATCGTGGTTATAACCCTCTCTTAACTCTATAATTCCAAAACACAAATCTTGACGAACAAGGCCACTGTGTGGAGAAACAAGTTGAGCGTGATACTACCAGGAGCGTGGTGGGGATCAAACTTGGAACCTCTCGGTTATAAAGTGAGCACGCTACCACTACACCACTACCATGTTAAACAAAAATTCCAGAGTTCAATACAAAACAGTGTTTAATTATTTTGAAATAAAAAAACAGACCTCTACCTTTTCAATTGCTCATTTTTATAATGCTGAAAAAAATGTTTAAAGACAAACTTATATTAAAATTTATGTCAATTCAGAAACAACAATGATCTAGAAAAATAAAGAAACATTTTGAAATTAGGAATATTTATTGGAAAAAGAAAACAGACAAATAGTTCATGTTTATAAAGATACTTTTCTAAAATGCTTACAGGTTGGTAAAACTCATGTTCAAAATATTGCTAAATATTTCTTTAAAATGGAAATCCAAGAAAAAAAAACAGAGTTAATGATAAAAAAAAAAAAAAAATAATGTTGTGGTAGAATTTATAAAGAGTTTTCATAAAAGGGAGAGCCATAACAGCAGAAACTTAGAAATCTGTCATCAGAGCTAAAAGACATTAAAAAACGTTTGGAAAATGTACGAAAATGTTAAGTAATTTTTCTGAAAAATTTTATGCTCAACTTTAATTTAGGGTTTGGCTCTCCTAAATCAGATGCATGTTCATTTTGTGAAAGAATTCGACACCAAATAAAGTGTGAAAATGACTTATAAAGAAAGATAAGTTTGTTTACTGATTTAGCTGTTCACAAACAAAGAGCAAATGCATTCTATAATCTTCTGAAGGAATAAAGAAATGGTTTGAAAATTATTTGCTTTGATGATCAGCAAAACCAAATCATCTCTAAAGTTCCAGACCAGCAAGCTTATTACAGTTGACAAATATACAACTTTTGTGTTGTAGAAAAAAAAAAAAGTGGATGTTTAAATGATAATGTCACTATCTATACTTGGAATAAGAATAACTTCAAAAAAGTAGTTCTTTCTGCTCCAGCGCAGTGTTTGACAAGATATGCAGTACAAACATGGATGGCATATACACTGTTCGCTTAGTTTCTGATGCTTTTTACATGGCAGGCTTCTAGTTGTTAAGACATGCACCAGTATTAGTAAAAACAATGACACTTTTGTTTCCTGTTTGAGGGCATATGTTTTTGCCATGTGACCGTGTATTTGGAACTTTCGAAAAAAAGTTAATGAAAATTGAAAGAATATATTCTCCAGAAGAGTACTATAGTGTTTACAGTACTCAAGGAGCTGTAAAAATTGCTGGAATAGACTGGAATGTGTTTGGTTTCATGTCAGTATGTCAAAGAGTCTTTAAAAAGCTATTACCAATCAAAATTCAGGAAAATAAATGCTTTTTTATTAAAAGAGGATCAGCTAAAAATATTTAAGTTCAAGCAGAACCTAATTTTAAATTTTTACTGAATAGTCCTCAGATTATAACTAAAAGAGGCCTCAATTGTTTACTTTGTCCCTCTCAGATACAAAAAGGTCCTAGTAGCAGAGGTTAAAAAAAAGATATCAAAAGCTTAATGCTTGTGCATGCAGGAGTGAACTAGAAGCAAGATATTTGTTTTGATTTTTAAAAAGTATAGTTAACTCTATTATTGAAAAAGACCCAGAAGATGAGGAAGATACTATACACAGTTATCTTGGAGAAGATGCTGCTTGTAATCATGTTTAACTTATTCATTGTACAGCATTTTCTTTTATCAAAATTTTTAATAAAAAAACTACAATTTTACATTAGTGTTTTATTAATTTACATAAGTGTTTTGTTGTTTATTCCCATTATTTTATACTATTACTTTTTGCTATAATTCATGCAAATCAAAGCTTTTCCTTCAAATCATTTTAATGCTTCTTAATAAAACAAAACTAATCTTGTATAAATTCAATGAAGCTTATATTTATATATACATATTTTTTGTCAACTAACATATTTCAACCCAAGTCCATCTCACATTATCAAGATAAGCTAAGTAAATAGTTTAATCAGGTTTATTTCATGATCCCATTGAATTGCATTTTTTTCTATGTACATATTTGTACCATTACACTGAAGTAACTTTTACAAACAAATTTTTTTTTGAGCGCAGTATATGTGTGAGTATATCAGTTTTCCTTCAATATCTCAAAATCAATTTACTTAGACATAACGAATTTTAAAAGTATGCTCCTCATAGGTACTAAGTAATGTTAAAATATATATCAAGTTTTACAGTGTAACTTTTATTTAAAAAATGGATTGTGGCAAAATCTCCTTAATTTTGATTTATAGCATTTATTTGATATTTGCAAAGTCTTTATTTATTAAATACTGTTAAATATTTGTATTACAATATACCTAAATAACCGAAGTGGGTAAAACACAGCATTCCTGGTGCCGTGGTTCAAATCCCACCATTCACACTTTTTTTTTAAAAATCTTTTTTGATTTTTTGAATTACAAAATAAAATTCTTTTGAATTTCTATAGATATTATATACATAGCATATATAAAGATATTATATACTATAACAAACAATCTTTAAAAAAGCTCATTTGTCGTTTTATAAAGTCTTTTGCTTATATAATAATGTTAAAACTGTTATTGGATAATACAACTTAGTGGTCGAAGTGGTTAGCTTGCAGAGTTTCTGTAATGCATCGCCGTTATTCAAATCTTACCACTTATTTATTTTTATAATTAGCTATTCTAGTTTTTGATTTCAAGACCACATTGTCAAAGTCTGAATAAACTAAATCTTATTGTTTTTCTTGCACAATTAAATCAAAGTCACTTTCTCATGCTATGTTTATAACTGTCAAAGGCAGTTTCTGATGTTTATGAAAATCAAATCTGCTTTAGCAACTGAGTTGAAAAGATTCAAATATTCACCACTTAATAACTAGCCAGCACACTGATGTTTTAAAACCAGCCATCTTTTTGACTTTTAAAATACAAAACAAAATATTTTTGAAGTTCTATAGATATTATATACATAACATAAAGATGATTTCTGTAACAAATGACAGGGAGAGAATTTTTTAAAAAGCCTAAAATTTCTAAAAACATCAAAATATCGGGAAAAGTTTGTTGCGCATAACATAAGTATGATAGAGATACTTATGTTATTGAATGTTCTTAGGTAATTAGTTCTAATAAGCTCTGAAACTTAATAAAAAAAATTTAATAAGCCTGTCCTGCTACTCCAGAAGGTGCTGCTGTTGAGGCAAAACTCCCCCCTCCCCACTTCAAGAAAAAAACAATAACCTGTAGCAAGCAAAAACTTTAAAACTTTGTTTTAACAATTAAAAGTCTATTTATGTATATTTTTTTTCTATAAATATATACAGCCAAATTATAAAAATTTAAAACTGCTTTAAGAAATTTTTTTTTCTTAAAGCAGTTTTTTTTAATGAATTGTTTTTCTACGTTGACTAAAATATATTGAAGTAAATAAAGAATAAGTATAGAAATTATTGTGTGAAATAGATAAGTATAGAAATGGTCGGTTTGGTAAAGACTCTAATTTTACCGGTTTGAACAGCTAGGATGTATATATATATATATATATATATATATATATATATATATATATATATATATATATATATATATATATATATATATATATACATATATACATACATATATATATATATATATATATATATATATATATATATATATATATATATATATATATATATATATATATATATATATATATATATATATATATATGTATATATTTATATATATATATATATATATATATATATATATAATTATTTTATTAATATATACTATTAATTACTATTAGAGAGGTGGAGTCTAAAATATACTATTGATTACTATCAGAGAAGTGGAGTCTATTGTACTATTGAGTACTTTTGAGTATTACCAGGGAGGTAGAGTCTAAGATGGAGTCTACTATAGCTGAACCACACTGCATTATTTTATTATTATTTAAAGTTATTTAATATGTTAGTATATATTAATTTTTATTTTATTTTTAGTTGTTTACACACATACAACAAAATTAGAACAGGCATTAAAGATATCTAAAGAAAAGCACAAAGAAACAAAACTTGGTAAATTGATTATGAATGTTTTAAAATGTTTGATTTTTTTTTGTAATTTTTATTTCATTTTTAGGTAATATTTATTTGGCTATAAAATATTTAAAATGAGTAAAATGAAAAAATTACTATTATGCGGTAAATATATTGCAATAAATTTCATTATAAAATATATATAGTATATATCTGATAAAATATATGTAGTATATATATGTAGTATATATCTGCCAGTTCTTTAGTAAACAGTGTTGGGGCATAAAAATTTGTAACTTTTAGACTTTTCTGATTACAATTTGTGCGCACAATGTTTTTTAAGGCAAATCAAACATGAACATTTTGCACAAAAATGCTTTTTTTTCAATTTGTGATCTTTTTCATTTGAGTTTGGTTAATGTATATATTTTGCTTTCTGTACATGTTTCATAGCTTTAATGGTTAATGCATGTTATTTTCAGTTTCAATTTTGCGTTTTTAATTTCATGGTTAATATTAACCAGCCAGTACAAGCCACAAACAGTCACAGAATAGAGATCAAGTTCAAGATGGCTGTTCTAAGCAATCGAAAAGTGATGACCTTTTTTATCAAGACTGAAGAATATAGTTGTATTTTCAAAAAATAAAGCGTTTAGAGGTGCAATGTATAGTAATAAAAATGACAAACTACACAGGACCAGAAGATAAAACTTTTTAGTACCTCAAAAGTTAATGAAAATAAAATTGTCCATCAAGGATCACTTGAAGGCTGCACTTTGAAATGTTTCAAATGATTCAATAAAAATTTCCTGATACACTATATGATTATAGTGGTTGGCATGCCAGACTTTATCAAACTGGCCAGCATGCTGACGTTTTATAAAGATTTAAAGCTTTTTAGAAGTGTTTTATCATGCATTAGATTGAGGAAGTGAGGCAAGAACTATTGCTCTTGCCTTACCTCCTCAATCTAATGCATTATAGAACTTTTCTGTTATACTGTTTAATAAGTCAGCAGCAAAATGAGAGAGTATAATGTTGATATTAGATTTAAAAAAAATGAAACAAATGATTACAAAAGAACTATTGCTCTTGCCTCACTTCTTCAATCTAATGCATGATAGAACCTTTTTGTTATAATGTTTAATAAGTCAGCAGTAAAATGAGAAGATTTAAATCTGTTATCAGAGAGATGGAAGAATTGAAAAAGATGAAACAAATTTTATGGTAGTAGTAATAAGTATGATAATATTGTGAGTTTAACAAAAAAAAAATAATTGTGAGTTTTACATAAAAGAAGCACAGGATAGAAGTTTTAGTAAGATTATGGCATGATCTGAACCAATGAGAGAAAGTGAGGAAGGGCTTCATTAAATTGATGAAGCTTTTTTATTCTAAATTAATTTTTGGTATGATTCTTTTATTTTAAATTTATTTTTGATATGGGCAGTAGCCAAAATCAATTTAAAAGTAAACCAAAATCAGCAATTGTAATTAGATTTTTACAATTAACAGATGAATTTAAAAGCATGAGATTGGTTGTTAAGTGCTCATTTATCATGTTGTCTAGTAAGATCCTCATTTATTATAATGTCAAATGTCTGGAGATTTCTCCAATATGACTGGCATTACAGCCAGCCCAAGAAAGTTTTTTATGGATTAAAATTCAACATCTTTCTAGTTTTTTAGGCCTTGTTGTTATGAGATTTTGTTGTTATGAGATTTTGTTGTTATGAGATTTTGTTGTTATGAGATTTTGTTTCATAATGTAAAAACCTAATGCGAGTAAAAGTATCTTTACTCAATAAACATATTTACATTATTACAAGTTTAATTACGTCAGTTGCTTATTTTAAAGAACAGCATTGTAATAAAATTTAATTTAAAACCTTATTAAAAATCATTGTAAGTTTGTATCTTAATTAAATATCTTTAAATTAAACAATATTGTTATAAGAAAAATTATAAATAAAATTTAAATATGTTGTTTGAAAAAAAAAAAAGATTTCCTTATCTTAACTTATACTTATTTAAACTTATATATATTTGTCTCTAAAATATTTGTCCTATGTTTATTATTTTTTAAATGTTGGGGCAATTGTTTATGGTTGAATTTCTTAACGGTCAAAAAATAAAAACTATCAATATATATTTTTTAACATTATGAAATTTTTTTGCATAAAACTCACTAGTTAATCATTTCTTATTGGTGTTCATTCTATGATCAATTAAAAAAACTAATGAAAAAGAAAAAACTTTTGTTAAAAAGCAATTTCTAAACAGAAATTTTTTTTTTATATATTTGTTTTATAAAATCTACTAAAAAAATTCTCTAAAAAGTATTTTGAATAAATCTAATAATTTTGTCTACAGGCTTGATTAAGGTTTATCCAGTAATGCATTTATATACAGTTATAAGTGAATTAAGCATTTTTGCATATTATCACTTTTATAACAGAATCAAAAAAAAAAAATATTGATTAAAAACCATAAATAAATAAACAAAATAATTAAATGTAATAAGAACATTTTAAAGTAACTTGAAATATTTTACTAATGTTTTTTACAACAATTAATTACAGATCAGGTGACATTAACAAAAAATAAGGCCTTCCGTTTGTTGCCGTGTGAGTCTCAACTATTGGTAAAAGACTTTTGTTTGCAGGTGTGCAGGTCATTTTTCCATTTTAGAAGGCCTTCAATGGAAGGACTAGTATAGTGTATTTAGGAAGTTAGCATTTTAAGACATTCTGTTTTGGACCCGCACTTTATTTCTATGCCCAAAACAAAATAAAATATGGCTTCTGAAAGAAGAGTTAAATGGTCTGATAAAGCAGTACAATTAGAATCAAAGGAATATGTTGGAAAAATTGGAAATTGGAAAAAAAAAAAAAAAAGAGTCAGAAAAGAAGAGCTTTTACTACACATGATTACGAGCAACATTGTAAATCCATCTCTCACTGTTGTTTCTCCATTTTTCCTGTTGTTTTTCCAAAAGTTTTGAAATTAGAAATTGTAGCATCTTGTGAAATTGATTTTAGTATTATTACTGAAGCTAAAATAACACTAACTAAACCATGCAACGGTGAATTTAATAAGAGAAGAGAATTTGTAGTCCTTTTTAACACATATAGCATTATGCATAGTATGATAACTGATAATGTAAAATTTGTTAAAATAGATGATAAAGTTTATCTTCATAACATTCAATGTACAGGAAATCACATCAAAAAATGTGATGGCTGCATTAATTTATGTAGAAATGAATCATTCACTAGCTGATTGGAAATAATGCAGATTATAAAAGATGTTTTAGAAGTTATAGAGTTATCTATAATTTGTGATGCAGACTTGAAAGCTTTTAAAAATTTTGTAAAGAGCTGTAAACTTAATCATGTACGATGCAATGAACAAAAATTGTCAGCTACTTAGGTCAGTTTGAAAATTGAAGGAATTACTTCATTATTATATCTGAAAAAAGAACTTTTGCAAATTGGAATTGCTGTTTCAAAAATAAATCAAATTTCAGGTTATGATTCCTTTTTCTGATAATTTCATAAACTTTACAAATTCACATTTCATCAACTCTACTTACTCTACTACATGCAAAGTTTTATTTCAAGAGTATGTGATAAAACAAATCAAAAATTTCAAATTTTGATTTTAGATTTTTTTTTTTGAACATTTGGTAAATGTGTTTATAGATTTGTCGCTGCAAATCTTTCTAATGTTTCCTTGAGACATATTCAACGTGTCACTACAAAAACTTCAAATATTTTTATTCTTGATGTTTCTTTAGATGGCCTTAATAAAATATTAAATAAAATATATAACATGATGTCTAATACCAATAAGCTAATTGTGTCTGTATTCATGGATGCTACCAAAGTTATACCACCCCTTTTAAGTTGTGTAAAGTTTAATTTATTGCCAAATCATATACTGACAATAAATGATAAAGCACTAGTTAAATCTGTTGCTATAATGGTTCAGAATTATCCTGAAGGAATGACACAATGAAACTTCTATGTATTCACCCCCAAAGTACAAATGAAAGTGATCATACATTCAATCATCAAATTTATGATGTTCTAATAAGATATCAAAATTTTGAAGTTGTGTCATACTGCACAGATGGTGTATCATATGAAAGTAAATAAATATCAAACATTTTATAATCATTTCTTAATGAAAAAAAATATAAAGTTGCTTTCATAAATTATAATCGTGTTGCAAAAGCCATAAGAAACCAAATTTTGTCTGGGATAGAATTAAAAACAATTGGATCATATCTGATTAGTTTAGTTTAGCTACATTCTACTTTAACAGAATATGGAGCCCTGAGCGATAGCTACACGCTACCATATCAAAATGCAGAACAAGAAGAGATACAAGGCAATAAAAAAAGTACTTTATGAAAATTGATTGCTATGAAATAACTAAATGTCTTGCTATTGATTAAATTGTTTAAAGTTTAAAAAAAAAAACTTTTGAAGTTCTCTTTTGGGATTATTTAAAATTCTTTTTTTGCTATCATTTATATTTTTGCATTGGTTTTTGTATTTATTTGTATATATAAATGCATATATATATATATATATATATATATATATATATATATATATATATATATATATATATATATATATATATATATATATATATATATATATATATATATATATATATATATATATATAGTAATAATATATATATATATGAACTTGAATGATTGGTGAACTTATTATTGGTACAACTTCAAATACAGGGCTAAATATCAGTGTCTGTACAATTATTGAACAGAAATTTTAGAAATTATCTTTTCAACAATTTTCACAAAAATCTTTTGGAATGTGATCAGCCTAGTGGAGGACCAGAATTTAGAATTTTTAATTGATTTAAAAAATACTGGCCTAAAATTGACAAGGGAATTTCCACAGTTAAAGCGTAAGTGGCAATGATGTTTGTTTAATGGGATAAACCGTTATAAGTGCGTTATAATCTTCAACGAAACACCAGTAATAATAGATGTGACTCTG